ATAATTAGGATATCATTTCGAGAATTGTTGCGATTATGACTGCGATTGTGATTGTCGATTTCTTTTTTCAAGTATTCATTGTTGTTCTTGTTGCAGATAATCAGGAACATTTGGATCACTAATAGTTTCTAAATTTTTCATTTAAATTTTAGTTTCGTCCCTAAATTCCTTCGCTCTGATATATCTATCTAGTCTTTTGCTGTCCTTTAGTTTGGATTTAGCAAACTCTAATAACATCTTTCCAAGTGATTATTTTCAGTATCGAAAAGTTTCATAGCTGACGAAAGACCTTCATTTTTTTTTATCTCTTTAATTTTGATTTCTTCACCCTAACAGGCAGTTTTGAAGAAGTGTGATGACCTGAAAAGTTCTCATTTAAATTAAGTGAAAAAAATGAAAATTTAGGAGATGATACTATAGGTGATATAGGACTTGGAGCCTCGGATTTCGATGTTTGCAAAGCAGAGCCTTGTCCTAAATGATCTACAATTATTCAAATATTCATGATCCTCATTCCCAAAAGAAGAAATATTTCGTGATGAAACAAGAATCGTGCCGAAAAGATGTTGAATGTGCATTCGAGTTTTGCAATCACGTTTTGCATTATTGCAGGACCGTCACGTTTTGGGAGAAAGAAACTGTTACATTATATTATGACTATATGTATTATACTGCACAACATGATAATTGACGATGAATGTGATCTCAATTCACCAATTCAAAATGGCGTAGAGGCTCCAACTCCAACTATAGAAATGGTGGTAGATGAAGAACAACCTTTGGCTAGACATAAAAAAATTAAGGATAAAAATACTCTTTTTGAACTTTGTAATGCATTAATAGAGCATTTATAATAGCAACATAATGATTTTGAAAATTGAGTGTTCATGCAATTGTATGTTACTTTTATTTGAATTGATCCCCTAATGTATGTATTATATTACATTTTCTTGCAATTAATTTTTTTAAAATTTAGAATAAAATATAATTTTATATCACATTAAAATTAGTAAAGTAATTATTTGAGAAAAAAGAAATAAAAAATTTATATTATGAAATAAGGAAGTAAGAATGAAATAGATGACCTTTACTATTCGACCATATCTTTTTATTCTAAAACTTAAGAAGTCCAATAAATTTTTTATTATAGAAAAAGTATTTGTTAAAATATTCAAATGACACATTTAGGGGTCGTTTGGTAGGGAGTATTAGGAGAAATAATTTAAGTATTATGTGTGGTATTATTTAATATTATGTTTGATAGGAAATTTGGGTCTATGTATTATCAATCTAGGAATTAATTACCCACCCTACATGGTATTAGAGGGTGTCTAACTAATACCTTCCATTTGGTGGTATTAGCTCTAATACCATGGGATTATTCTAGGTACAGGACAAAAATACCCCCTCAAATCCTTTTAATATTTTATTTATTTTTTTGGTTTATATTTTATATTTTATATTTATACTAATAAATTTATTTAAATAAATTAGCTTACAAATTTTATTATTTAAATATAATTTTTTGTTTCTAAAATATGAGTTATTTAATTTATTTATTATTAATATAAAATATTATAATCCGACTAATATGATAATGTTGATGTATGAATTTAAGAACAATTCATAAGTAAAATATTGTCTCTTAACGAAAGTCCATTAAACATTACACAAGTAGTCTAAAACAAGAGCATATATATACATACATAAAATATTTTATATATATATATATATATATAGTCATTTTATGCATTTCGATATAAAATTTATAAATTGTGTCTGTGTTTGTGTAAAGCGAGAGAAAAATGTATATCCAAATACAAATGCATATATTTTCGTCATATACACTTATAATACAAATCTTATTATACAAATTACAATGTATAAAAATATTTATGCAAAACTAAACAATTTGTATAAGAATAGATGTTTTTAGCAAATTATACAAATCAAAAGCTCCATACAAATAAAAAAATTATTGTGGAGCGCAATTATGCAACTATAGCTACAACATACAAATATAAATTTTATGCTTGTTATATGTGAAAGTTGCTCTATATATAATGTATCAATATTATATAAACATGTATATATGATGTATAATTATAGATACATATGCATATATACATTGTTTATACAATTATATACATTACAATCAACCTTCACATGATTTTAACATTTCTTTAACGGTTTATGATGGTTTTATCTTGTGGTAAAAGTTGTCAATATTTAGTATATCCTGTCAATAAAATTTTTAAAGTATCTTTATTCTTAGACATGAAAAGCTCCACTTAGGTAAGGAGCTTCAAATGATTTTGATACCTCTCAGTTGTTGTGTGGTAGCTAGCTCTATCTTGTGCTATTAAGTGATTGATTATTTCTTAGTGGTTCTTTGGATTATTATCTTACTACAATCATATATGATCAAGGACTTCGTATTATTTAGATTAATTGCATTGCTAATAATCCTCATCCAAGTTAACAAATTCATCTAGTTTTCCTAATTAATAGATATTTAGATAACCAACATCCTAAATTGCTTTTCCTTTTCTCCTTTACTTTAATCTGGGTCCAAAATTTTCCAAATAAATAAAAATTCAAAAACTAGTTGTTTGAACCTTATTAAATGTTTTAGCAATTTATTTTTGTCATTTCATTTTGTGTTTGAATTGGTACGACATGATTTATTTTTATCAAGTGCTTGATTCATTGTTTCCCACCTTATCTTGTGTTTGGATAAAATTTTACAAAAGCTTATTTTTAATTATACCCTTCAATTATTATGTTATTGAGTTTTTCGAAAAAATATTATTTTTTATGACCTTCTAGATATCTAGGAGAAAAACAATTTTGTTGTCACATTTGCTATGTTTTCACTGAATTATTTGAGGACAAATACTTGTCATCTTAACAAATTGATCACACGCAAAATGTCAATTTTCAATTTAAAAAAGATAATCATTTATTATTAAAACGAAAAGACAATAAACAATGTTAAAATTGAATAAATCATTTACATTTATACATAAAAATTGTAAGTTGTAGTTTTAATATGTATGTAATTTCTAAATGGCTCATAATACAAATAATTAAAAATCATATATTACTACTATCAAATGAAAAATATTAGTAATATATCCTATAATACCATGTAGGATGTATAACTTAGTTATACGTAAACTCACACATAAAATACCACCTCTTCTAATACCTCCTACCAAAAGACCTCTTTATTTATTTGTTGAACTTTTATTTTGACATTCTCAATTTCTTCCCTCTATTTCCGTGTAACTTCTTAAAAATTAAAAAGAAAATCCCTAGCAAAAGAAAAGATCTATATTGCATATTATTCTACGAAATGTCATTCAATTAAAATGCATGTTTTCATAGAAATGTCATTCAATGAAAATGTATGTTTTCATAGAAATACTTAATTTTGTTATTTGAAAACTTGAACAAACTTAGTTCTAGGACATCATGTACTAAATCATTGAGATTCTACGCAAGTATAGAAAGAGATTAAAGAAAGTCAGCTTACTTATAAATAGAATAAAATAAATAGGTCAAATCCACGAATAAAATTATTAAACTTTGATTTCTCAAAAAATAAAAAATAAAATTATAAGTTGATTTTTGAACAGCTATATCTTAGCTGTGTACATATGTGGTCAAAAAAGCACACAGCAACAAAGCAAGTATTTATGCGCTTTATCAATTGTCATATGTATGTAAAGACGTTCTACCTTACAACATTATTAAAATAATACCTTAATTATATAAATATTATTAATAGAAAGTTATTAGATATGTTTATTTTAAGCAATGATGACGAGCCAGATGATGAAATCACACATATATTTTAAATTTAATCTAGTACCATAAGTACTAGAATATCAATTTTTGGAAGTTTCGTATTCTACGTATCGTACCAAGAATGATTAAATTATTTTTGTACTATACTACTTAGGGATAAGGCAAAGGTTTTTGTCATATTAATCTTTTTTAAAAAAATTAAAAAAATTGATATCTAGAATCATTTTAGTTAAATTTAGTAAAACCAGTTTTGCCTATTATAATATACGTACTTCGAAGATTTAGGTTATGTCTCTCTCATCTCATCATGATAACAATTTCTTCTTTTGTGTGTCTTCGAGAAGTAATGACGATGGTGACAATTCGTTGACATTGAGTGATATTTCTTAGAATAATTCAGTAAAACAATATTATATCGATCGATGTATGTAATTTATAAAAGATTTTTATTATAGATAGGTTGATTATTTGGAGTATTAGACGTAGACCACATTGTATCCACATATATTTTATTTTTATATGCAACTTTATCATGAGTAATTAGCTCTCAGAACTTTACAATTTCAATCTACAGGTTTCTATTTTGGTAGAAAAATTGACTCAATTAATTAGAATTTTTTGACACAAATTTTAAATTAATCGAGTTTTAAAAATATTACTCTTTCGATTTAAAAAAGAATGATCTCATTTCCTTTTTAGTTTGTTTAAAAAAGAATAATCTCTTTTTTTTGGTAAAATTTTAACTTTAATTTTTTACGTGTCATATTTAAAATCATAAAATTAAAAATATTTTAATATATTTAATATAATTTTAATTTAGAAGTATGAAATTAAAATTTGTAATAGAACTTTTGAGCGTGAATGGTAAAATATGATTAATGTTGAACTTTTCTTTGTGATAAGTTATTTAGTTTATTAGTGTACGTCATATGTGCAAGAAAACAAAAAAGTGGGGTAGGTTGTACCGTGTTTCTGACAAACTCAAATCATTTTCATGGAAAAGAAATGGGCAATATAATAATGAGGCTTTTTTTACTCATTAAGGAAACAAGGTTCCAGTGAATGGTAGTAATAACATACTTTTGCTACATGTCAAAAAGAATGAGGACAAAAATAATGGAATAAAGTGAGAATTATGTATTGGTAAATAACAACATATAAGTCACAAGATAGACCACCAAAAAATTAAAAACATTTATTTAGTAGCTGTACTTGTGGATGGTATAAATTGGCAGCTTACATGAGTAAGAAATCTAGTTCAATATCTCTTCTTCAGTTAGCTTTGTACCAACTATATCCATAGAGTTGGAATCTCTCAAAAGCTTTTTTTTACCATCAAGATTAACCCTTGTAAATATTATATTACATTATAGTTTACATCACAACCCTCCTTCAGGTGCGTGCGGTTCGCTAACTCTCTTAGACGCAAAATATTCCATGCATCGATCGACTGTCTCGATAGAAAATTAATTGGATGGTCTGGTGAGAGAGTAGTTAAAGCCACTTTTGTGAGGCCAGTTTTGATGTCTTAATATCTGCTGAGGGAATCCTGATGATGCTGCAGCAGTTGCAAATAGGTGAGGAGGAGGAACAGTATTGCTTTGCCATTGTTGAGTATCTCTTCTATTGCTGCTGCTTGGAAACTGAACCTGTATCATCATAATTCTTAACAATTATAAATATATTTCTAGCTACATAAGGTTATCGTAGGATTAATAACCACCAAACTAGATTAACCTTCTAAAAAATTATTTTGGTTTTGGCGAATACTCAACAATTAAATACTGGACATATTTACTCCAGGATCTTTTACTAGAATACTCCACCAACGTAACTACTATTATATTATCAACGTGATATAACTCTTTCAAAGGAGGTAATCTTGTATTATTTTTTCAGAGTAGTTCCACGTATTACAGACATATACTTGTATCACTACCAAAAAAGCAAAAATAAGTGGTGGATTTTTTTTAAAAAAAATCATGGGAGAAATAGCTACAAACTAAATGATTTGATTGAGTAAACAAAAAAATTAACAAGTTAAAGTCATGTAAAATTGGTTACTCACTTGATAATTTGAGGAGGTGAATTGTGGTGGAATCATTTGGGAGTCACCAGCTCTCATATATTGGCCAAACCTTTGCATTTCATTGCTATTTGTCTTGAAGGATCCCGGAGAATGTAGGTGCGTTTGGCTAAAGAGTTGCAACGTTTCCGTCTCATTGTACACATTTCTTCTTCGCCCATACTCCATATCAAGTGGACTAGGTTGCTGCGAATAATCGAAACATTTCATCATGCATGTAATATTGTAAGGAGTAAGAAACTACAATCACGCTCCGAAGATATTAAGCTACAAAAGGTAAGTTTAACTTGTATACATAGAAAATGTAGAGATAAAATCCTTAATTTCACCAGATATTTCATTTGAATTCTGAGTATAGAAAAATTCTACGTACCTTGGGTTTCGACCCTTGGTGTCGCCAATCAACATCAAATTGGATAGAAGGATAATTTTGATTCTTATTAGTATCCTCCATTTCACGGCTGTTTTGCTTTGAGCTCGAACTACCTAAGCTTAAGTCAAGGCTGTGATCTGCTGCTTTATTACTACATTCTGAGAAACCACAATTAAAAATGTTTGTCAGAAAACTCTCTTCTTAAAAAAAAAAGAAGGAACAAATACACAACTGTACCAGATGAATTAAGTTCATTTTCATAAATGCAAGGATCGAAGTTAGTGACTGCATCCTTGCCATTACATTTGATGGCAGCTTTATCATAAGCCCTATAAAAAGAATAAAAAAGACGATTTTTCAGCAATTGTAGTGCAAAAAAAATACAAAATAAATTCAACACCACACAAACCTGGCAGCTTCATTTTCAGTATCAAAGAGTCCCAAATAAACGTACCTATTCAAAAATATTTTTTCTTAGAAATTAATAGCCTACCAAGCTTAATGACATTTGGCAACAAAATAAATTGAGGATAAAATATTATACTTTTTGCCCAACAATTGACCCATTCTAGCTTCCCATCTACCACATTTGTGCAATGTCACCCCTCTATACTTAGAACTTCCCCTCGGAAAACCAGTACTTTGCCTCCTCAGTACATGAACAAATTCTTCCTTCGTTAAATTCTTCATCTACATCATACATATACAACAAACCAAAACCAATATTACAACACAAGGAAGAAGTAAATTCAAAATGTTTCATGTCAAAAAAATGTCTCTCCATTGGATATGGCTTAGGAAAATGGACCATAGAATCGTTTACAATTTCGAATGTATAAATGAGTTGTTAGAATCTAAAAATCTAACTCATTAAATTTAAATTCCGAACACTCAGGGTATAGAGTAAACAACTGTTGAAGATAAAAAGGAATCATTATTCTTTTTTAAAAAAGACAAGGGAGAGAGTGTAATTCACTAAAGTAGTTGTACTCCAGCTAGAAAAGCAAATAAAAAATATCATGAACCTACCTGTTTTAAATCTTCCTCATAATCTTCGAGGTTAAAGTTTATGTCCGCCTCCATTCCACGAAATTTTATTGCTGCCCGATCGTACGCACTGAGAAAACACATTTTTCAATCTTTCAATATACATGTGTTTTATTTTTAATTGTTTACGAAAAAACTAACAATGCTAAAGAGCTCACCGAGCAGCAGCATGTGCAGTATCAAATCCACCTACAAATTATAAAATCTGCGAAAATCAACATACTAAACTTTTTGCAACTTCAGCTCGGAAATAAATTTTAAAAAACCGTACCTAGATAAACTTGCTTTCCACAATCCCTGAGCGATCGTAAAAACCAAATGAATGAGTTTTAAAAGGAAGAAAAGAAAACGAACCATTAATCAATTAATAGAAACTGACCATATATGTGATTCCCAGCGGCCAGTTCTCCGATAAAAAGTAACACCGCGGTACTGTGAGCTTCTAGACCTTGGACCACGCCGGCTTTTTTTCATTGGCTGCACTTGTTGCGACAACTCACTACCCTTCCCCAATAGTGCTGGCGAATTAGCAGATGGCTCCGGTTGGTAGAATTTCACTCCAGCCCAATGGGCCCTTGGAAATCTACAAGATCTATCATTAAAATTGCCACTTCCGATTTCCGACTCATCAACCGGAAAAAACTGCCGGGTAACCGGCGGTTCACTCTCCGACGACAAGTTATCGTCGTTGTGATTGTTATTATTAGGTGGAGCAATCATAGAGAAGCCAAATATTTTACTAGGAATATTTTTCTTTTTCTTGCCTTTTAGTCCATTTTGTTCGAGAAATTCATCTTCTTCCTCTGAACCGTATAATTCCTCAACAGCTGATGAACTTGAATTTGAAATGGATCCAACACCTTTACCTTCTTCTGATTCATAGTCCTTTATATGATCTGGAGAGTTGTTTAGATTCCACATTTCTTTCTCTACAAGTCAAACAATAGTAAACAAAAGAGGATCGGAGAAACAATTTCAAGAGTTTTGTTTGCTTAGCTCTTTCATCTCAGCTAAAATTTGACCCTCACCTATAAATATTCTCTACTTTTTTTCTCTCTACTAAATACACATGTTGAGTTGAATCTGAACTATAATAATGAAATGGAGATTTTCCGTGAGTGTTGAAAGAAAATATAAGAACAAGAAAACAGATGACTTACAGAGAGAGATTAAGTTGTTACAAGAAAAGGTTAGAGAGAGAGTGTGTGTGTTTTCCATTCCTTTTTACTTCTCACTGACTCGATACTTCTTTTCAACAAAATACATAAAAGCTTTGGCTGTCTCGAATTCAAATTTTGAATATTATAATTTTTTTTAATAAAAAGTGTTCCCTTCTAATAAAATACCCATGAATTCAAAATAAATAAATTTTAACAACTATCCAACACCACGTGAAAAATTAAAACTATACAATATGTGATTCAATTCTAGGAAACAAAAGTATTTGGCCATAAAAGTTTGTAATTCAGTTTGTAGTTAGAATTCCAGAGTTTTATCCCAACTAACTGAAAAATAAAAACAACTCTAATTTGTATTGATAAATAATCAAACACAACTCAAAATTTCAAATATTATTTTTCATTATAAAACACAATGAATCACCTATTACATATCCATTTACGTTTGGTTATAAACTTTGAACTTTCTAAAAATAATTATAATCATATTATTAATACTATATAATTCTAATCAGAAATAAATAGCTGCCCAATACAGCGATAAAGTAGGCTAGGCGACTAGCTTAAATCCCCTATACTGAATTAGCCAACCACAACCGTTCGGACTTTACTTATATTAGCACAAAAATAGTGTGCTATAAGATAATTAATCTCATTTTTAAGGAGGATTAATTGTAATACTAACATTTTAAAAATGATTTATTAATAATATATATAAAAGTTTTCCCTATAAAAAAAAAAAGTTAAAGCTCCACCCACCCCTATATATATTTCTGTGTGGCTACTGGCTAGTGCCTATGACTTGCCAAACCATCTCACTAGTATCTCTTTATTCCCAAGTGACTGGTGAAAAGCACCAGTTTTCCCCTTCTTGTTAAGTCATTCATAAAATACTTTTTCTATATTTACATATCCTAAATACAGTTTTTTGTCTACTCATGAGGAAATTCGAAAAATCACACGCTGAATAGATAAAGTCTGAAAACTTGTTTTAAAAGGTTAAATTTATATTATTATTATTATTATACTATCAATCACTACATCGAATATGATTATTAATGTAATTAATAACTAAAAACAATAGTTTGTTTTTAACTCTCTCCGAAAATGCTCTCTTGATTATTCGAATTTATAACCTTATCGATGGAAGTGAAGGTGTTTAATAGCTATATTTTAGTACGTAATTAAAGTTTATAACAATCTTGAGTCTAATGATAAATAAATAATGATAATAAAAAATTTACTATTCTTTATTAAATATTATATTTATATTCGCTAAATGTTATTTTTGTTGTAGTGAATGCACGTAACTCAAAACACATTTGACTATGATTCACCATTTTTATTAAATGACATAGAATTGAGTAACATTCTATGTTTTTTTTAAAAAAAATCAACTTTTTTATGTTGAATCAACCACTTAAATCCTATATTTTGGGGTCTTCGTTTAATCACTCTCTCTATACTATTTAATGAAAGGAAAAGTGTGTGGCAGCAACTTTTAGTGATCTAAAAATCTATGTAATAGTAGTATTTAATTATTGGTTTCCTCGAGGAAGAAATATTGGTACAAAAAAGAAAAAGAATTATATATGGAGTATGTTGTTACAGCTAGCTTTTCCCTTATTTTAGTTTATATAAATATGTATGTAAAACTAGTACATTTTAACCAATAATGGAAAAAGACAGTACAAGTAAAACTTCTTTTATTAGCTACCTAGCATTCACTCCCCCACAAAGTCACTCAAATTACTTGCTTTTTACTGCTTTCATTCACCGCTTTTCTTGTTTACCTTTTGGGATGTTCGAAGGTATATATAACAAATCAAACTTTCATATACTTCTTTTTACGTTTTGCTCTTCCAACGTGTTATCTTAAAAGTGGAAATTGATAATATTTTTTGAAGTGATTTTTTAAAACAAATTTTATATGAATGTTTAAATTTATAGCGATGCAAGCTCCTCTTTATTTATTGATAATTTCTTATGTATATATTCTTAGTATGCATAAATTTTTTTATTAATTTTTTGTTTATTATTATGTCTCCACTTTTTCACCTTTGACCTTATTATTGATGTAGGAGCTCTAGAAAAAGAGTAGGATAGTAAATTGGGAAAATAGAGAAGGTTATTTTTGGAATAAGATGAATGTGAATGAGTTTGGATAGAGAAAAAGGAAAGTGGAATAATATGCCAAAAAGGAAATAGTTTCCAGAATAGTCGAATCGAAGAGTACATAAAAGGGCCCCACATATTGCTCTTGAAACACACCAATGGACAATACCTTTCTGACAATGTACCTCGTATTTAATAATAATAATAACGTCACACCATCCTCATCTTTCACCAAAATTATTATTTGTATAAATAGCAGAAGATTTAGAATTTCTCTTTTACAGAGTTTTAAAAATAAAAAAATACAAATATGGGATTGTTATATACTAATTACAAACTACAAAGAATTAAATAAGAGAAAGTTATAAGTTGCGCAGTTAACTTTCTTTTTAATCAAGGTGATTCAAAATATATATATATATAAAAATTGAAAAATGTAATTTTTTTTATTGAGAAGGTTTGAGTTTTATACGTTAATCCACTTCCGTACCCGTTCAAACGATTTTTTATTCGAGTGAGACCGAATGGAAGATTACGTATGATTCCGTTCCATCTGATCTTTTTGTAGTAAAAAAAATCAATGTTTTTATTTGGTTGATAGATAAATAAAACAACCATTTTAATAAAAATTAAACAAAAAAACTCTTATCTGGGCAAGCAAGCGTGTCACCAAATAGTTGACACTTGGCAAGGCAATGGGATAGATATGCTGAAAAAAATTACGAAATGCACTTTGTTTACAAGTTTGATTATAAACATCTTGTATATGATGCGTATCTTGAATGGTTAATAGTAACAACATGTTTTTGTGCAATTCAAATCATGTGATTTTTTATTTTTTAAATCTAATTGAATCTCAATGCGGTTACACAAGAAACAAAAACAAAAAACACTACTAAATATATATTGGACAAAATAATATTATAAACCTAGTCTAGAATTCCAAATTCTGAAAATGATAAAAGTTAACTTGAAGTTTAACCCAAATTGTCATGACATTTTGTGCAAATGTATATAGTACAAGAAAGTGTTAAATAAGCTAATTAGTTCTTTTCTTGTTTGATGGGAATTCTTAGAAATAGAAAGAAAAAACGCTTGCAATAATAAACCTCAAGGTTTTTTGGTATATATTAGCTGGAGAAATGGACCCGTTATGTCTACTGATTTGTGTTTCACTTCCAAAATTAGTCATCAAACTATAAAAGTTATTCTTTTTCTTTTTTTCTGTATGTAGCTTTGCTGAACTTATATATTAAAGGGTAAAATAAAGTTAGCCTGATTGTGCTCATTGTGTCACCTATATATATATATATATATTTGGAGTCCAAAGGTATTAAGAGCGAAAATAATTGTCAAAATTTCAATGGGATACATCAATTTATTTTTTAACCAAAAGGGCATTCGAACTTTTTTCACTTTTACAAGAATATCGTTGCCTATCCTATAGTTTGTTCAAAAGGTATAAGAACCAAGGGACAAAAAAAATACTATCCTATAGCTCCGGTCATCCTGTCTGATATGTATCGAGCCCTGGGAAAATGCAAAGAGGGGCATCGATACTTCCAAGGATGCAAATTGCTCCATTAGTGGTGGATCCTTAGCCATTTAGGCAAAGGGTGCTGAAACTCTGGCGTTGTATATTTTTGACAACAAGGACACGCTTAAAGATTTGAATGACATGTTGTATTGAGCGAATATGGACAATCAGAGAATAAGGGAGAGATGGACTCAGATTTTCTCCGAATTGAAAGATTATCTAGGACACGTATAAACCAAATGGACCTAAGACCTAAAATAAATTCGACTCAAATACTGGTCTAGGCGAACATGATCCGATTTGGCCCAACGTCTCTCTCTATCTCTATCTCTCTCTTGCTTCTGTATGTTTACTTGCCTTTATTTGTCGCTAGTTTAAAGTTAGAAAACTTCAAATCCCTGCAAACATCTTAAAAGTTTTGTCGACTTAGAAAATTAATTTCAAAAGGACTTAAAAAAGAACAAGTAAGTCTGCAATAAATTTTTTTACTTAGATACTTCACTTTCAAATAACTCCTAATAAATCTCATACTAAAAGGCAAGGTCATTTTAGCCAAATTAAGTTAATTATCGAATAGCCATATTAGTGGATATTTTAGGTGTCTAACACCTTTCTAAAATATAAACGGGAATTCCCGAACCCTTTTAAATATTTTCAAAAATAATTTTATCTGTTAAGTCTTTTGGAAACACAAATTTTCTTGATTTTTCTTCAAAAATTAAGTGGCGACTATAAAAAAGTCAAAAATTCTTATGAAAAATGTTTTTTTTAGAATAAACATTGCCAAAAACGCTATTGGCAAAAGCGATTTTTTTAAAAAAAATATATATATATATATATATATATATATATATA